GTAGAAAAAAAATCCAAAAATGAGTCTTCATTTAAAAAAAATGAGTCTTCATTCAAAAAAAAATTCAAAAATGAGTCTTCAATAACCAATTCAAACAACAGAGTTGAGTTTGTAAAAATTTTATAACTGCATATAAGAGCTAGTGCATAACATTTGAAAAATGTCTTTTATTTATCTGTTAGTCAAAGTCCAATAACTCTGAATGATATATCGGATTTTTTTAAAAATAGACTGTAGATGTTAATTATATTCACCAATTCCAACAATTATGTAAAGTTGTCAGTAAATCAATCTAAGCAAACTCAAGTCATGGTAAAACACGTGAAAATCTAACTTAAATAAAATCTGACAACTAAAGTTCTTTAACGATGGAATGACAAATCAGAAAATTTTAAAAACCGAAAGGGAGCTTCAATCCCAACAACAATGTAAAGTTTTGAGAAAATCAATCCCGGCATACTGGAGTTAGTAGGAGAATGAGAAAAATTGTCTTAATTCAAATGCTTGTTTAGAAATTCCAATAGGGAATACATATTACTTTATGATTACATTATTAATTCAAACGGTTAAATCCCATAACTCGAGAACGACAAAGCCTAAAATTTTCATAATCGAAACGGACCATTTTCTAATCAATCCTAACGTAGTATTCAAAAGACATAATAATTGGTTAAAGCTAAATTGAGTTATCGTAGAAAGTGTTGAAGACGGATGGACAGACATACAGACATTGGCATACATATAAATACGTCCCGTCTGATATATAAAAATAGGGTCATGTGGTATTATTGTAAACGAGACAACTATTACAAGAGACCAAAGATATCTGTAACTACGTTAGGCTATTTCTTTTAATCCGTAAGTAGAAAATGAGGAATACTTGTAAAGTAAAAAAAAACCGCACATGGAGAGGGAGGGACTGGGAATGTATATAATTATGATTCAAACCGCCACCACAGGTATTTTCACACTAACTTTGAAGCCCAATATTTTGCAGGATAAAATGGACTATCATAATTATTAAAGAGGTTTCGTGGAGCATTTATCATATCCAGCAATATAACGACATTTGTATGGAAACTTTTGCTAGGATGAAATTTGAAAAAAAGGCAGGATGAGCAACTTGGCCAAAAAAATAAAGGCAGGATGACAATTTATTTTAAAAAAAGTCAGAATAAACTAATAAAAAAAGACAGGACCGAATAGAGAGAAAAATAAAAAGGCAGGACAGAGATGACAACTAAATAAAATGCAGGACAAAATTTTTCATCCTAACCCGCACCCCCATAAAAATCAAATGGTAGCTCCCTAATTAAAATATAGATCTCTGATTTCGTTTTTTAATAAAAATTGAAGATTGTTGTGAAATGAGAGGAACCCTTGTGTTTCATTTGTTATTTGCCTTCCAATTTTTGGTTTTATGGATAAATTGTACTAGTGGCAAAACTTGCTGGAACTTCCGATAAAGACTTGTAAAATCATGCAGACAAGTGTCCAGACTTGTTGACCTGTAATCTAACATAATTTAACCTTCATTTTCCTTTACAAGTCACACAATAATATCTTGGTGGTACCTTTCAGCAAATTATGCAGAAACTGTGATGGAATAATGACGGGATTTTGAAATATTTTGTAGCCTTTCTTTTTTGTAAAGGCGCCTTGACGCACACCTTAAAAGTATAGTACTCCTAACAGAAACTACATTAACGAATCGATAAAATGTATAGGAAAAATGGTCAAAGTCCCAAAACTACAGTAAATATTGTCAATTCAAACTGACGATGTAGTATGGTCAGGAGAATGTGACGAAAACTAATCCTATCAAGTATGTAAGTTTTCTGTCAAACGGTCCTTGAGAATGAAGTGTTTCGAACGATCCGACGGACGAAAAGACAGAAGGAAGGACGGACTCAGTCTGCACCAAAATCTTTTCCAACATCTAGTTCGAAGACCAATATTCTAACATTTTTCTTATAAGGCTGAACAAAGTTTTGCAAAATTTTTGCCAGATGCCACAAACATTAAAACAATACGTAAGACAACCACAGACGAGTGTTCATTTAAAAAACGTATGCGGTTTCATCGGCAATAATTGAACAACAATAGTATACACTTGTATAGTCTTTATCATTTACTGAACTAGACTTATCAAGCCAAAAAGAAATTTGTAAAGGACAATTCATATATTTATTATGCTCTCTCCCACTCTCTGAATATACATCCCTCAAGTGACTTTTTTTGTGTGCAGAAATTCAAATATTACGTTTGAGATCTGCGACGTAAGTTCGACTGCTTTAAGTGCTTATCAAAATCAACCAATTTTTATTAACGGCCTACAACGTCTCAATCAAAAGGTTGTTAAACTATTAGCGGACGAAACTGTGGTCTATCAAACCATATCTTCAGACGACTAGACCGGGAGAAACTGGCAACATAAAAAAAAATGGAAAATGGAGTTCCAGCCTGAAAATACAGTCACAAACTCTAAAAAAAAAAGGAAATCCCTATCAACTGAAATTACAAAAATCACGGCCACACTGGAGCAGGTACCATCAACGAAATACCTTGACTGCACCATTGCAAGTGATTTAGATTGGGGAAAACACATAAACAGTATCACAGTCGAAGCATTGGATTCATACAAAATCCATCCAATGAAATGTTTATAATCTGACATTAGTAAGACCACAAATTGATGATTCCACGATAGTATATAGAACCCCGATCATCAAAACAAAACAAGATAGATAAAATCGAAGAGATGCTAAGACAAGCTAACTGCGGTTAGTCACCAGAAGACAGAAATAAATCAAGTGTCAGCAACATGTGACCAACACCACTAATTATACATATTATCAGTATTGTTTTATGAGTATTTCTAATCATGCACAAGATGTCGATTTTGGCAGTATATGGAAAAAAACCTAGATATACTCTATATTAGGAGCCAAAGGAATACCACTGTTCAAGGAAAGGAAAATTAACAATAGGAAAGGAAATGATGCAGTTGATATTGGTAATTTTACTCAAGTCCATAGTAACACACATCATGTTGCTTTATTAAGCTTCAAACTGAGGAAACCGAAAGCTTCATGCATGATTGATTCCCTTTACCCTTTGGTTTTCTCAGCTCTTCGACGTTTGCATAAAGTTCTGGATTTTCAAATATTTGGGCCTCGATCATCACTGAAGAGAAATTAATTGTCGAAATGTGCATCAATCATGCAGTAAAATCAATTCTGATCTAGAGTTTCGGACCGACTATGAAGCATGTATAGTGGCCTCTAGCGGTCAAATTTGGTTAACTTTTGTTGTTGTGTGACTGTTTCCTTGAAGTTCATTCTGTATTTCCTCCATTTATTTGTATTCGTGTTTTACCAACAATAGCTGAAATGAAGCAACAGGCATGAAATTAAACGACACTGAGCATAACAAACGAACAAACAAACAAAATCCCTTTACTAAGTAAGGAGTGGCCCGGGCTAATCGAAAAAAGCCATACTGCAATTCTAATTCGCCATTGTGAGGTGGCGTTCAAGTGTAAGTAAAGTGTAAGTAAGTAAATTTTATTTAGAGTCGGCATATATATACATATTAAATAACAGACAAAACATGAGCTCTGGTGAGCTCTTTAACCGACTGTAACTTTCGCTTGGCCGATTTTTTATGTTTATCTCTATGACTATCTTGGCTTAGTTGGCCACTTTGTCGCGGACAAATGTGAACTCAACTGATGAGGCGCCTCGGCCGTTTATCGTGGAAAATAGTAATTGTAGTCCAAATGAAAGACAATTCTATTTTTGCTTGGACTCCAGCAGGTCAGTAAGACTAAGAGATCTATAAACGCAAAATAAAATGTACCATCAATTTGATAAAAGTGAAACTGTTTTAAAAATGTCTTCACAATGCTTTAAAATGAGGTAGGGTAAGTTTTCTAGGATCAGTTGATTTTAAAAAAAAATAACATTCCATACCTACATCAAAAGACGTCATGGTTTATCACGGGACTCTGAGAATGACAATGCCTTGTCAAATAAAGGCAACAGTAATATAAGTCATAAATCGATTAAGAGGAAACAAATCCGGGTTACACATCAACTATAAGAGGAAAACAACGGAACAACAGAAACACTGAACTGCAACAAAAACAAACGTCAACATACATAGAAACGGACTATTTGATAACAACTGCCATATTCCTGACTTGGTACAGGACACAATTTACTAAAGCAAACTATTCGGTACAACATCAAAGGAACGCAGAGATCTATATCATTCATTTCTGGTGAAACTATTTCTAAAGGTGCTGTTTAAAAAACATCCAGGCTGTACTTCTGCCAAAGAAAACACAGCGGAAGTGGTCTGTTGACTGACGCATTTCCCTTATTTGTAAAAGCCTGAATCCAGCATAGTTGATCATAGTTTATCCCAAATGAAACTTATTTCAATGATCATTGCTTTGTAAAATATTTCTAAAACAGCAGATCTTGTGTTCATTTACCATTTTTATCTGTTCTTTCTTGTAAAAATTCTTTTTAGCACACACAGGACTACAGTGTACGCTGCGAGATGATCATGACGTCACAAATTTAACGATAAAGGAAAGTACCGAAAAAGAACGTCAAACGGAAAAGCGAACAAACGACCCAAAACTATCAGCCAAGTAAATGTCTGCACATTTAAAATATATTTTATTTCGATTGAAAATGTTAAAAATAGCTTCAAATGTTGTATTCCCCGTGTTTTCTTTATATTACATTCATTGACTGTAAATAATATAAACATACATATTAATCCGCAAAAGAGCAAAAGTTCAAAGAAATAGGTCTAAGTCAATACCTAATTTGACAGTTTATAAATGCTATCTCTAACCTTTAAAAGATCAGTTAGCTTACGACTGATATTTTATAATTTTATTTGTAAAAAAATCTAACAGTTCGTGTCTGACAGTTATTCTAAACAGTTTCACTTTGGCCGGAACTATTTTTGTGTATTGAATGATCAGATGCTACAGGTCGTATTTGATGTGTATCAAAATTCGATGATATATGTTGGATTTTGCTGTTTATCATGTGTCTTAACATGTAGGAATAAAACAATATAGTATTCAGAATGTCTTGGAAAAGAAAAACGAGCTATCTAATCGCGTGGACTGTGGTGATAGGTGAGTGTAAAATGTGATGCAGTAACTGATGGCTGACAGGTGCTCTTGGAAAAAAGGGGGAGCGATAGAAAGTCTCAGCTACTTTTTTACACATTTATATAAGATTTTGATTGTAATTTTCTGTATAAAATTCAACCCTCACGTTGTCGAATTTACACCTCATCAATCCTCAATCCTCGTAATCTAAATGCGAGAGGCCCAGTAAACATTGCATAAATGTTGTTACAAGTTGACATTATCTATAGATACTCAGATATAACACATCAAGCATACATTTTTTATCCATTATTTTTTTCTCACATGAAATGTTCCTGAGACAATACACAACTTATTTTATTTTCATTTTTATTAGACCATGTGTTAAATTTGGTTTATTTTTATTGTATTGATTTGGGTTTGTAGATCTATACATACATGAGGGTCGTAATGGGGGTACCTTCATGACGAATAACGGTAAAAATTCTTGCCAAATGACGTTAACAGTAATTTTTGGTGCATGATGATAAAATGTATACTTTCTTTTAGACGATAAAAAAGATCAACTGATTTTGACGAATCACGTTAAGTTTTTTCCAAAAATTACGGTAACAATAATTATATGAGACCTCTGACGAATCACGATAAGGATATTTCGACGAATCACGGTAAAATTTTAATCATCTTGACGCTCACAGTAGCCGAAAATGTTTATGAGGGTGAAGGAGGAGTGTCATCCCAAATTCCTGGAAAAATATAAACGCTAAATCCTGAATTGTCAAAAAAAATTAAGTATTCTTTACCAAATCCTGAAAAATGAATTAATTCCTGAGTCCCAATAACTCTAAATACTGAATTCCTGCAGAAGTTAAGGTCCAATCTCGACATCCTGAAAAATGTCCTTCCACCACTCATGGTGCTATGATTGCCAATGAAACAACTATCCACCAGAGACCTAATGACGTAGAAGTTGGCGACTATAGGCTGGCCTTATGCAACTAGCAAAACTCATACTGTACAGCAAGCTATAAAAAGCCCATATATTACAAAATGTAAAACATATGTTTACATAATGTACATGAACAATGTGGCAATGTACATGATATATAAACCTGGCTGAATTTTTATAAGATTTTGAAGAGATTTAAAATTCTTTGTATTGATTTGAATATTGAAAAAATAATAAATGTACATCATGTACATTAACAAAATGTTGCAATTATACTTCCAGAGATACATGTAGAAAATGTGAATGATATTAAGGTGATACATGTATATGTTTTATATTATTGTGTCTCATTCTTTAAAAGTTTTCCTAAAATAACTACATGTAGGTCCCATATGATTGGTCCATCAAAATGTGTGAAAACAACTGATTCCTACACCATGTACACAATGTTATTGAATTGGCTATAAATGTATTTACACTTTTGGTATTTAGCTGTATTTTGACTCCGAATGACCTTATATCTACTCCGAATCACCTTTTGACGTCAAGCAACAATCACTTTTTATTTGTGACGTCAAATGTTTTGAATTATGATGTCAAAGTTTACGGGAACCTGTGTGATTTTAAAGTAATGGCGGACAAATTTGCATACAAGTGTAAATACGTCTATTGTTAAAAAAGGAAAATACAGCAGGGGTTCAAATTGGTGTGGGTCTACTTAAAATTGGTGAATTGAATATGTAATACATGTACAATGTAGATTGCGTAGTTTTCCATATTTTCAACTTTTACTTTTTTACTTGCCTATCGGACGAGTACACTAATCACTTGTCCTAAGCAAAACATCATACAATCTCTCATGTCATATCCTGATCAGGTAGACAGCAGTCACAAAAGTAATCCTAAAGAATGTCCCCTGTACACATATTTGTTAACAATTGGCCTGAATTTATTAATTGCCAGCATCATGAGCAAGTAAGATATTCACATTATATGTATTTTTGTATACATGTACAATGATACACTACTGTCATGACTGTACATTCTTATATGATTATTTTTAGGACTCTCATGTGGTGTTGACATAACTATAAATAACCAAGAAAATGGATTTTTTCTGAAACCAATTTATGATAAACATAAACCTTGGGATCCTGCAGTAGAAGAGGAAAACTTTGTCATTACACAAAAATCAGATAAATTAACTTTCCATGCATTTAATGGTCCTTTTGATGATTATAAAACAGTTACCGGCAGTGATGCAGGGGACATGGCATCGTACTTACAACGAGAGGGCAACAATAACAACAACTTTGTATATGAAAACATGGATATAAGTGCTCATATTGTAAGTCAAAAAGTTTCACCGAAATGGCCAAAATTACAAATAATGATTCATGCTAGTCCCCGATATAATGTTAACAGTAAGCATCGACAGAAATCAAGTGTATATTCTCGGACGTTGTGTGGTCACATCTTTGTACGTAACAAAGAAGCAGAGTTATCTTCAATTTGTGTCATCGGCAGTCACGAAGAGGCCTGCATTGCAGCTATCAGTCTACCAAATGCATGGTGGCATTCAAATAGTTCAGTGGATGTATATTATGCTGTATCGTCATCTAATCAAAACCAGGAATGTGCTAGCGCATCCAATTCTATTAAAGCTCTTACGGAACCAGAAAAGGAAGAAGAAACCAGTCCAAGGAAATTAATTTTAAGTGTTATTTTATCAAATCCAGGAAATCAATATGAAATTCGACAAGATGAACAAATTCTTATTTATGTTCCAACAGAAGTATTTGAACCAAAAACAATATTTGAAATTCCAGTAAAATTAGAGGCAAACTCAACAGTGCAGGTGTTTGTAATGAGGTAAGATCATACTCATGATTAAATCTAGGATATATGGGACTATATGGAAGAAGGAGTACCATGCATCATTTATACATGTGTATGTAAATTTGGGAAAGACTTCCTTTTAAACCCCTCTTTGTTGACGAAATAGACACCAACATGTATGAAGGGGGTTCAAAATGAAGTCTTGTCTACTTGTTTCCATGAAATAGCCTAAATTTGTTTAGGGGCCAGCTGAAGGACCCCTCCGGGTGCGGGAATTTCTCGCTGCATTGAAGACCTGTTGGTGGCCTTCTGCTGTTGTCTGTTCTGTGGTCGGGTTTTTGTCTCTTTGACACATTCCCCATTTCCATTCTCAATTTTAATCATGATAGCTATAGATATATTTTTTGTCAAAACTCACATGTACTTGTATATGATAGGTTATGTATTTTTGATATTCAAAATATAGGAAAATGATTGGGTATATACACGTATACAATGTATGATGTCTCAGCTGTTCACCCCTACCACAAAAGGATTGAAAATGTTGGTACATGTACATGTAGAAAATGTAGCTACATTATGTATTACGATACAATGTAAGACAAAAGTCTAAGAATAAGAAACGTTGGTCCAAATACAAAATCTGTCTCAACAATGATAAATCTAATTAATAAGTAGTCGTTTTGTGTTAAAGTCTTATCAAAAATTTTGTTAGACACCTTGCAATATCAGACAGAATTTGAGACCTACATGAACATGTAAATGTATAAAATTGAGAATGGAAATGTCTTTCTTAACTAACATCTAATAAAACTTCTTAAATTCAGTTCTTGCTTACTAAAACAAAAATTTGTAACTGCCACTTATTTCATAACATTATGCACATATACATGTACACATGTCCCATGAGCAACCATGATTAAGCCCATTTTTTCAGTTAAGTGCTACAAAGTAGGCTTCCTATTTCAATATTTACTTTTTAAGGTTGGTAAAGTCTGCTGGTATCAATTTAAAGAGCAGAATATGATCTTTATTTGACCAAGCTCACTCAAGTTGATTAAATAATTTTTTTGCTTTTTTTTTGTATCTTTTAAACCTTTGAAATGTTTGAATAGATTTTGAACAGGGAAAAGATCAAAGCATATTAACCACAACATAGAAACATTTAAAGCTAGTTGAATTTGTTTGATGTTCGGGTTATTCACTGGATCAGAGAAAAGAAAGAACTCCACAATTTCAAAATTACATAATTTACACCTTTATTCAACTGCACTATTTTGTAATTAAAACATTCTACAGAAATTTATTGGGAAAAGTTTCAAATGACATGCCTGAATTAGTAAAAATTGTCTGATGTCATTTTAATTGGGTGTAACATTCAGGTGAAATATTGACTATAATGTAGAAACCATTCTTTTATAAATAAACGAAAAGAAAGTGGGAGAAAAACGGATATATGGAATTGCTCAGTTAATGTGTACAATTAATCATCAAATATTATATATAAATGAATTTGGCAAAACTCCTACAGTCCATGACAGTTTTTTAAGAAGTACATTCAGTAGGGAATATTTCTTTAAGATGATTGATTTAAACAGCTTAATCAACTTAAATTTAAATAAATAGACACTAAACATCTTAAATATACCACAATGCTGCACAACAAAAAAGACAAGTACCCTGTCATGTCTGTCTTCCTCATTTATTTTCCTATGTACAAATGTATAAAGGATTAAATGCAATGTGAGTAAAAGAAGATGCTGGTTAATCATCAATGAGACAGTAACCTAATTACCTCATCAAAAACTGAAAGACATCAAGAGGAAAATAGTTTTCTTGTCCATATATTTGCTATTTTAATTTTCTGAAAAAAAAATACTTTAAGGATGTTTAGTAACAAATTCAGTTTTTTTCAATTCCAACAGAAAATTTTAACCATTCTTGGACTACTGGCTTAATAACTTCATTTTGTACATACCAATTTTATGCTTTAGACTAATACGTGTCTTCAAGATTTAAACATTTGATGCAATACTGAACCATAGTTTCTATTGATGATGTACATGTGTACATGTAGAACCTTACATTTATGTACATTATATACATGTACATGTACATGTAACTAAGAAATTCTATTGTAGATGTCGTGTTCGTGATGGACTTATTATCACAGGTGCCATTGCCAAGGCTGATGGACCATGGCAGATACATGTAGATATTAATGAAAGACAGAAAATTGGCAGTGTGACTGCATTTGTCCGAGATACATCATCCTACAAAGTTTCTACGAGGTAAGTTTGAATGTTGATGTTCATGTGCCGTCAGTAATTTCACAAGAAGTACAGTACATGTACACACAATGGAATTCTGTTAAAAATAATTTCTGGTGGTGTTGATCATGAGTAATTAACTGTTAAACAGGGGAATTGGATTGTTGGTGATTAAAGGGAATGACACTCTGATTAACCATCCAATGAATTTTATACCTGTATTCAATGGAATTTCAGAGCGAATTTTCACTTATATATTCACTTTGAAAAATCATTTATGGTGAATCACTGTAGGCCTCCACTATGTCACATACATATATATACATGTATGAGATTTGGTTAAAAGAAAAGTATCCATAGATTTGAGCTGAAGCTGAATAAAGAGAACATTGTGTTTTTCTATTGCTAGGCTTAAAAATCCCTTATTGCTGGTGTCTTCTCTATAAGTTTTATCTCATTTCTTTTATATATGTTAAACTCTTTTGTTGTTAGTACAAAATTTTGTATGGTAAACAACCTTTTTTGGTTCTTGGGTTCTTGGTACAAACTTTAAAAGTACATGTAATATCCTTTTTTAGGATGAGATCACTTGGCTGTTTATATCTATAGTCCTAATGAATTAATGTTGTCATTATTGCATCCCAGTGTTATGTTATAATGCATCAATTTGAATTTTTTCTAAAAGACAAACTACAGTACATGTAGGCTATGTTTTTATTTTATATACATGTACCTGAGAAATATAAAAATGCCAGACAGTTTTTACAGAATGAAGTCTTGACAGTTAAGCTGGTCTAAGCATAGAAATTTTTTTAGACCATAGAAATTTTACAGATGTGAAAAAGTAGAAATCTGTCAAAGACATTAACAATGATAAGATTTGCCCTAATCAGCATTTTTTGAAACCTTCAAACATTTGATCCAGATGTCTAATTACATTTGTACATGTAGCTGTTCAATATCTCTTTTGTAAGTTTTGCATGTTTAAGTATTTGATTCACATGCATGGATTTGATTTGATTGATTTTTGGTGTTTTAACGCCACTTTTAAGCACCGCTTTTGGGCTATTTCGTGGCGGCCAGTTTTTATTGGTGGAGGAAGCCGGAGCGCCCGGAGAAAACCACCGACCTTCGATAGGAAAACTGACAATCCTAGTCAATTAAGATTGGAGTCGAGTGCACCCGCACGAGCGGGGTTCGAACTCACAACCTCATTGTTGACTGGCTAGTGATTACAGTAGTAACTACTTAGACCACTCGGCCACCGAGGCCCCCACACATGCATGGAAACATTCAGGGAAACATGAATGTAAAATGAATGTTGACATAAAAATTTTATTTACACACGTATACCATGTATACAGTATAATGTTTACAATAATTATTTTTTAATTTTGAAATCAATACTTGGATATTTTAAAGGATATTTTGATGGATGCAAGAAAATTGAGCAAATATATTTGATTTCGACCTCAGTGAACTTTTATCTTTGCATTAAGAGACATATCATGAAGGCTGTAGTAAAAAGAATTTATAAATGTTGTTTATCAGTCATAATGAATGTGGGAGGATGCAATGTTTGGAACAAATTTGGCAATTTGTTATGCATTTTACATTTATTTCACTGTATCATTATTTATCTCAAAGATTCACATATTTTTACATGTTTCACCTGGCCTAGCACTAAAAATATTTTCTGGGCCATGAAGGTGATATTTTGTGATCATTACACTATATGACCCAGTTTGTACTAATTTGCAATTCAAATTCTTCTACAGTTTTCTAATAAAACTGTCCACAGAGATGAATTTTGTGACAAAAACTTGTTTAGATCTGTTATGTTTGTGTAAAAATATTTGTCATTTTAACACAATATATACCTTTTGTACCATAGTTCACCGCACACCGTCCTTTCTATTTATCAAGTAAAAGTTTATTCTTTGACTTTTGTATGATTTTGAACATCCTTGTTTTAAGCAGTTTTATACTAGACTGACGTTCTGAATCAAACCATATGGACTTCTACCTTGCCAGGTACATATGAATTTGTTGCAGGAAGACATGTCACCATTTAACCCAGACTTTTTATTTTGACTCCAAGCCGACCTGTCTTGCTCTTTCTTGAAAATGTTGAGATCTTTGCAGAGAATTTGGAAGTTTTTGCCTTTCCGTTTGATTAACAGTGCATTGAACTCGTGAACTGTTGTCTTTGAAGCAAGCATGCTAACAACTACTGAGGCATCCAATGGGAATGATTAATGCAATAAGTTAATTGACCAACTACAACATGCCTTGTTATTAAAGAAAGCCACATTATACATGTAACACAGGAATGGGATCATTGTAGACCTTTGAAAACTAGTATACATCATTGTTTAGGGGCCAGCTGAAGCCTGCCTCCAGGTGCAGAATTTTCTCGCTGTGTTGAAGACCCATTGGTGGCCTTGGGCTGTTTTCTGCTCTTTGGTCGGGTTGTTGTCTCTTTGACGCATTCCCTGTTTCCATTCTCAATTTTACTTTGAAAAAAATGCTGACTCTGGGGATCAATGTTCTACACAGACTTTAGTCGTCTTGAGAATGTTAATGCATAAATTATCAAAATAATTTAGCATAGAAACATGGAAATACCCAGTACACTCTTTCAAAAAAAAATGTTCTCTGAATCTCGTTAGATAACCATGATCATCATTTGAACTCTGGTGGATAGATGTTTCATTGGCAATCATACCACATCTCCTTATTTTTATAATGATAACAGTTTTAAGAACTAATCTTTTAGAAGATGATGTTTAATGGTAGTATTTAGAAGAAAAAGCTGATTCCCTGACAGCAAGTGGAATAAACGGTAATGTTAAGTGCATATTGAACAAATTATTACCGATAAATATTCTGCCGTAAGCTTGCTATAGAATATCTAATCCGTATAATGTATTTTAATTAGGAAGTAATCAATAAGAATGTTTTTCTGTTGTTTCATTAGGTAATTAGTTGACAAGTTTAAATGCGAAAAAAATGAGAAAAAGAAATCATTGAGTTTCTATAAATCGACAGAGAATATCTAAATGTCATCATGGAAAAAAGATTCATAATCGATAGATTGACAGGTCTAATGATATTTTATTGTGTAGTAGTATACCAATTTTCTGAGAAAATTTATACAAATGAAAATCCAATATACTCGCAACGGGAAAAATGGTTTCCGGGTCCTTAAACTCGTACAGAAGATTTCATTATGATTATTGTTGGTTCAAAAAACTGTTAAAGTATGAGTCATTTATTGATGCTAAAAAATAATTTCTTTTCAATTTTACAGTTTATTAAGGACTTTTTTAAGTTCGTTGTGTTTGACTTTTATTGTGTTCTTAATAAGTTTTGTTTGCATTCTGTTTTTGTTCTGAATCAGCGCGAAGATTAATCTCTGTAACAAGCTACAGGTTGAATCAATAGTAATGTTGAGAACCTAAATTGTATTACTGATTTTTTTATTCATTGCAATTCTTCATTTTGTCTAAGGTATTTGAATAGTTTTTTTTTAGAAACTAATAAAATTGTTAATGGTGTAATCTCGTTGATATTATTTGAAAGCTGAAATCGGCAATACAAGTGGGGTTAAGAATTAGAATACAAGCATCAGCGGCACAACATTGAAGGCTGGAACTTTTACAAACTTGTAGACTATAACTCGTCATGTGAATTGTTTTCATCTTGAATGTCCTGATCCCACTTTCACTTATCTTCTATTTATAATGATAAATCAATTTACATATCTAATATAAATTCAGGATATATTTTAGATACATTCAGTTATTAGGAAACTGTATATCAATGTTACATATTTCGAAACATTTAACTTTAAAGTGAATTTTTTGGTGGAAAGAATTTTTCTACTCTTATTTGTGGCAAGAATTTGCTTATATTTATAATTACATTTGTACACCTATATACCTACAATCATGAAAAAAATAGAAACAAAGTATTTTGTTGTTAGATGAAGTAGAAAATTGTTTTTTCTTTATGATGTTTCCTCTTGTCTTCATCAGCTTTACTTCACCAATCTCTATTGATCTTTTAATTTGTCTCAGAATACCTCTGTGATGTAGCTTAATACCAAACACACAGAAGATACAGCCAGGAATGTTTGATGACCTGCCAACTCTGTTTCATTGATTTTGTTGAGGGGTTCTTTTAATGCTCTCTAAATTAGATCAGAACTTGTTTTGTCATTTCTTGTATTTCTATTTTCCACATTCTGACATTCTAATTCCATACTGTAATTGTATGTAAATATAAATATTAGGAAAACATGTTCATGCAAATATCTCTTATGGGGAGGTCAGTGGTAAGACAAGCAGTATTGACCACTAGACTGATTAATGCGATGACCTGTCATTAGTTATTTACACTGGCCATAGTCTCTGTCAGTCAAAGTAATATTGCCTATAGGAGCAAAAGAAAAATTTATCAGTTATTTTATTTGGTTGTTTTCTATGCTACTTATCTGATTCCAATAATTGATTACCAGATCTATAGGGGGGGGGGGGGGGGGAGGGGGAGTGTAACAATCTTGACTACCTTATGGGGTTATGCACTAAGGGTAATTATAGGTATACATGTATGTTTACTCATTTTATTGATTTCTACATTTCAGCTTTTCACAGTTAATACTTAGTTTGAAAATATGAAAGATTAATTTTTACTGGAGACAAAACAGTATTGACCACTAGACTGATTAATTAGATTACCTGCCATTGATTGTTGATGTTGGCCCTAATCTGCCAGTCAAAGTTATATGGCCAGTAGGAACATAATTCCAATAACATATACATAAACTACTGGAAAGGGGCGAACAATTTACAATCCTGACTACCCATGGGGTTGTGCACTGTAGGCAATAAGATGCATGTTAATCAATGCATCTTTACTTCTTTTTTTATTGATTTCTGCTTAGCAGCATTGCACAGTCAATATTTGATATGAAAATATGAATTATGAATTTTTATAACTGTGCATTAAGTGAAATT